GGCATCTCAACAATCAACTCCAGGAGCGATCAATAATGTAACATCATTAATGTTCCTCCTGCCTCTCAAGTGAAACTACAGGGTAATGCACTCACCAGTTGTTTATGTTTGGTTTGAGACGCCTCAAAATACACCTCAATAATGCTCCTCCTGCCTCTCAAGTGAGACCAAGGGGTAACGAACTCACAAGTTGTTGAGGTTTGTGAGCTTGAAGAGAGATTCAGGAATGGTGCCGGTCAAGTTGTTGTAGCCAAGCTGTCTGCCTCACATTCAGTGGATGGTGGTAGGAAAAGGACGGAAGGCGCGCGTGTGGTGAGACGAATGATTGTTGTGTATACACTATTAGAATGGACATTATGGCAAGGGTCGACGGATAAATAGAATATATATATATCAAAAGTGACACAGCACAAGCATTGGATTAGACAATATGGGAAGGGGGCAACATTTCCTAAATCCAATACCGGTATTAAGACCGTGCTTACATTTCAACTCTTTCCTGCATGTCACTCACCTGTGCACGCCTAGATTTAACTTCATCACTACCTTATTCAACTACTTTGTTTGGCAAATGTTTTCAGTGGAGTTTAGGGAATCTACTGGTGATTAACTAACCAATCGGTCGTACGGATCCACACTAACGTGGCAGCATGCATGCATCACGTCTTCTGCTCGGGCACAATTGCAGGAATAACAGACACAATCGTAGCTGATTTGTTTCAATGTTGCAGGTGGGTGGGTGTGTGGGGGGGTCTATGCATTTATGCAGGAGTCATTAATGCAGGAGTCATTTATGCAGGATTCATTAATGCAGGAGTTATTTATGCAGGGATCATCTATGCAGGAGCCATGTATGCAATGCAAGAGCCATCTAGCCCGTCTCATTGAGAAGCTCACAGGGTTGTCAGCGCTGCAAGGCTGCCTATTTTTGAAGAGATTGAGCCAGTTAATCTGTTTCCAAGGAGACTGCTGCAGTTTGTGGAAACAAAAGGTGCAACAAGGAGAGTAAAGGACAGGTTTCAGTTGCAAGCATCAGTATGAAAATACAGGATGAAGAGGAAGTCAAAACTGCATTTAAAACAAAACATGGTCATCTCAAGGCGAGCAGAGGTGCATGCTGAGATGAACCCCATACTTTCAACAATGCCTTCTGGGGCATCCAGAAATTGCTGAAATGCATGTGCCTGGTTCGGCTACGGCTCACCTGGCTGGGAAGCAAAGAAGGACTGCGCTGCACTGCACTTACAGCGTGCTGAGTTTCGTGAGATTGAAGAGCGACTCAGGAATTGAGCCGGACAAAATGTTGAAGAAAAGGAGTCTGCAAATGAAAGAAATGGAGGGCACACAAGTGTCGAGTGGAGAGACACCATACTCCACTGCACAGCACGTGTATGTACGTGGAGTGTGTTGTGCTCCGAGTATGTCCCAATGAGTAGTTCCTCACCTCTAGTCCAAGATATTGAGAGTTCAACTCCCATCATCTGCACTTTCCCCCTTCACATTATGCTCACCATGACATGTCCATACTCCACCACACTTATCGACAACAAAGTGTGGTCAGTGGTCACAGTTGGCATTGCCCCCTGTCCACTCATCCCATGCTCACCTTGGTGGCCCCTATGGTATGCCATATGCTGTCATGGAGGCTGCTGTTCCAGCCTGGCCCACATGTGCAAAATTGGGCCTCAGTTCCTAACTGATCAAGGTTGGCTAGCCTTGCCCTCAACTTTGAGATGCTGCAGCTAGCCTCAAGAGTTCAGCCATATGTACATGATTCAGCATTTCCTTAAAACTTATCCAAACTCGCTTTTTTGGGCAGCCCGGCGCGGCCCGACCTGGGCCGGGCTCAACCTAATTGCAGTTGGTCTGAGCAAATGTGTGTCCCGTCCATGTGCGTGCATGTGTGTGGTGTGCGTGTGCGTGCGTTTGTTGAGGGCATGTGAACCAGAGGGATAGTGCGGCTTAGGGATGAGCAAAAGGCAAACTCGAACATGTGTATGTCCCCTTGCCTCGAACACAAGTATTTGGCGAACCGAACATGTTTGCGTTCAGCCGAACACAAACCGTTGAAGGAGGTTTTTGGTCGGTGTTCGCCAAAATCCAAGCACGAAAATGTTTGTGTTTGTCTGTAGGCAGCCTTCATTACAGACACAGGGTTTAGGGATGGTGGGTTGTGGCGTCCAGGGTGGTGTGGCTATACATGGTGGACGTTTGGGAGTGAAGGAAATGAAACGCCAAAGAGTGGAGTTTGGTTCCGCCAAACTTTTCTATTAGGGTCTACATATGCTTGCTGCTGGAGCTTGTAGTCTAGGCTGTCGAAGGGGAGTTAGGCAAAAGTCGGGCTCAAAATGAGCTCGACTAGTGTGCCCCGTCGACTTAGACAAAGGGTCGAGGGACGTTTCTGACAAACACAAGTGATGTCAAACACGAACGTGTTTGTGTTCGGCGCAGCTCGGCTAGCCGCGGTAAACCCAAAACGATCCCGTTCGGGCAAACACAATCATGTTCGCCCCAAACATTTTGTTCCAAAAAAAATTGAGTGTTCGAGGCGAACTGAACAGGCCTTCCCCCTTGTGCTCATGTCTAGTAGGGTTGCTGTGAGCCTTAGGAGCAATAAAAACGGAAGGTGCCATGTTTAGTCCACCAAGTCAAGAGGTTCACAACAAGTCAAGAGACTCACAGATCTCCAAGATTTGAAAGTTTGCCTAGTGATGCTGGTATCGAGCCAGTGAGGTTGTTCCCATGTAGGTATCTGCTTTCCGTGGGAGAAAAGTGTGATGAGCGGAGTAGACACCATAACAGCGAATTTAAGGGGTCACAGTGAATGGTTGAAGGAGAGGCATGTGAGGGCGTCAGGGGTGGCACTTGTTGATCACAGAGGGACGCGTACCGTGCAGCGCACTCAAGAAGACTGGCAAGTTGGAAATGACTTACTTGAAAGGGTGAGGGAATGAGCATGAGGAGTGGATGTGATGTGGGTCCCATGGCATGTGGTGTGGATGTCACGTCACATGGCATGTGGTGATATTGTAATGCAGGTCGCGTCAGTCCCATGTGGTGTGGATGTGATATGGCTCACATGTCGACCCAAAAACAGCAGCGCTGCTCACAGGTGGGAAAGCTTTTGGAGGTTGCCAAGAAAGGCAGGAATGGTGCCTGTCAAGTCGTTGTAGCCGAGGTTCCTGGTGGGACCGAGAGAAACGAGTGCCATGCGGGCGGGGAGTGCCCAGGCCATGCATAATGATGAGATGAACACGCACGCATGCACAAGACATGCATGCACTAGCCACTAGGCATGCACAAGCATCAAAAGGCCTGCATAAGGTATGCATATGCATAAGGTATGCCTACATGCACAATGAGAGAAGAGTGACACTGTGTTTTATGGTCGCCCATAGTCTCTCATGGTCGCTCACGGTAGCTTTAGGCGGTTAAGCTTCATTGCCTCCTCACTCACTCAGAAACACTTGCACCAAAGGATATGACAAGTAGAGGGATTCAAGATGAATCCCAGTAGGGTTCGAAGGTCAACTAGACAGATGAGTGTACTGGAAACATCGCCGCGGAAGGACAAGGGCTATTGCTGGTGAGTGTTGTTGAGGAGAACAAGGAGAATGCAAAGGGGTGCGGAATAATGTCACATCACATCACATCACATCACATCACATCACATCGCATCACATCACATCACATCGCATCACATCACATCACATCACATCGCATCACATCACATCACATCATATCACATCGCATCACATCACAACACATGACGAACTCCAATAGAGGGAGAATAATTAACACTCATATGGCAGTGAGAGGGAGATACCACAAAGGGAATGCGAGGCTAAGAAGTGAGCCTAAGAAATGAAAGAAAACAAAAACTACCTCTCATCACTCACAAGTTGGTCAAAAGCCCAAGCTTGGATAACGTCGCTGGTATGGAGCCCGTCAGATTGTTTCCAATTAGCCATCTGCATCTCGGAAGTGAGGTGCAAAACGGAAGTAAAGTCCAGAGAGGGGTTTGTGAGTATGAACGACACCTCCTACCTATCGACCATACTGTAGGAACATTCGTAGCAGCGAAGGAACAAGGAGGGACTTGGCGCCGCGCCTAGAAGGAGCAATGCCCACAGACAGACCTTTCAGCTGAACGCTCAGTCCTACATCCTTGCTGCTCGATATAGGACTAAGGTAGAGTTACATGTGTATGAACTTCGCGTGGTGTCCCAACTTCGAAACGCCTGCTAAGGACTTGATTTTAAGCTTAAAACAGTACAGCACTCAGTGTATGTCGGGCTAAGAACACAGTTCAATCAAGCTTCGAAGCATAAACAACCTGATGCAGATCGGGCTGGACGCTAAGTGTACTATGCATGCATTCATGCTGCAGCCAAGAAGCATGCAAGGTCTGGCTGGGGCTCACACATGTAGGGCGAACGAGGAACAGCACTAACAAGTAATTGAGGCTTATGAGATTGCCCATGGATGCAGGGATGGTGCCAGTTAAGCTGTTGTAACAAAGTTCCCTGATCGGCAAATGCGCACAGACTGAGGGCCAGGATACATTGGAAATGAATAAATGAGGGCACGAATAGATAGCAAATGAAAACGGAAGGCATGCATACAGCGTAAAAGAAGCCACGCAAGACTTGATTGAGGGACATGCATTCATAGTGGGAAGTGGTTTCTGACTTAATCTGGCACTTGCTTGGCTCGGCCTGGCTCCGCTAAGCTCGGCTCGTGTAAGGGACAAGCGCGCACCAACTCAAGCCGAGTGGTATATTTGGTTGGCAATAGTTCAGCTTAACTTGGTGTGGTACTCAGAGATACAATGGTGCTACATCAACATTTTATAAGTGTGGAACCAACTTTCTCATGCCCTCCTCGGAGAGTTGGTTCTACATTTGATGATTTTGTGTTAGGACAAAATAAAGTGTTAGGATAAAAGAGATGAGCCTAGGTTACGAGGCATGCATGGCCTGTCTCTTTAGGAAACTCACAAGTCGGTCAGCTTTGGAAGGTTGCCGATAGTAGTTGGTATTGGGCCGGTCAGGCTACTGTTCCATAAAGCTCTGCATTCGAGAAAGGAAGGAGGGTTGTACGGAGAGACGAAAGGCCAACTTACGAGCTTTTGCGACCCATGACTAACAAAGTGAAACCATGAAACAAGAAGGCTCACAACAAGCTCGAATGTGAAGCACTCACAAGGTAACAAGGTCTTTTTTGTGGCACTCCAGAAACAGACGCCAAAGAAGGAGGAGCACTGGCAAGGTGTGAGTGCCTGCCTCACGTCAAATGTCCACTCTCTGAGTGCCTCACATCGCATGTCCAGTTGTGTTGTGAGTGCCTCACATCGCATGTCCAGTTGTGTTGTGAGTGCCTCACACCGCATGTCCAGTTGTGTTGTGAGTGCCTCACCTACCTCACATGTCCACCCAGGGAGGAGCAGCACTCACAAGTATTCAAGGCTTTGGAGGTTGCTGATGGAGGCAGGGATTGAGCCTTTTAGTCTCTCGTCGGAAATGCTTCTGATGGTCGGAGATTGAAACGGGCAACAGCAATGGAGAGAGATCTGCTGCATGTGTGCATGATACATGCATGTGCTGCATGCGTGCATGATACATGCACGTGCTGCATGCGTGCATGATACATGCATGTGCTGCATGCGTGCATGATACATGCATGTGCTGCATGCGTGCATGATACATGCATGTGCTGCATGCGTGCATGATACATGCATGTGCTGCTTGCGTGCATGATACATGCATGTGCTGCATGCGTGCATGATACATGCATGTGCTGCATGCGTGCATGATACATGCATGTGCTGCATGAATGCATGTGACATCTGTGTACTGCATGCATGCATGTTCTTGTAACTCGGTAGAATGAAAAATCGATTCCAAAAAATGACGGAAGGAAATGGTGGTTCAAGGTTTCTTTGAATCGCACAGACATAACCTTGGGTAGGGAGGCAGCTAGTGAGTTGCTGATGTTTTTAAAAGGAAGGGAGGATAAGAGGGAGGGTCCAGGGTGCGGAGAGGCGAGAACAAACCGTCTGACTTAAATGGACCACGGTGAAGGGTTTAAGGTTTAGGGTTCAAGAGAAAAACATATTGAAGCCCACCTGAGTCCACACACCTGATTAACTTACCAAGGCCCACTCACATGCGTACATCATCTCACTCAGAAAAATCCCCTCACATGTCAAACATCAAGGTCCTCTGCCATGCTTTTATCATCTCACGAAGGTCTCATAACCTGTTTTCACCTCACTCAGAGAGTTCTCTTCACATGTCAAACATCAAGGTCCACTGCCATGCTTTTATCTCACTCACGGAAGTCTGCTCACATGCTTATATTAACTCACTCACAACGCTCTGCTCACATCTTTGTGATCATGCCCTGGGAGTCGCACGTGACAGTGCTTGCATTGTCGCAGTCCCCACCAACCGCCCAGCCGTCAAACGTGGGGCGGCCCCACGCCTTCTGGAAATCCAGCAGGACTTGCGCTGGCGGCAGGGCGGGGGAAGGAGGAGTGGAATGGATGAGGGAAGGGCGGAGGGCAAAGAGGAGAGAAAGGAGGATGAGGGGGGGGGGGGGGGGGGGATGAGGGGGAAGGGGCGCCGGCAGAGAGGAGGGAAGGGAGTGGGGACTTGGACGGTGGTTCGACCACCCCTGTTTGCACCTCCTCCCACCGCCCTCATCACATTCCCCCCATCTCATCACTTTCCCTTCCACCATCACATTCCCTCCCACCTCATCACAATCCCTCCCACCTCATCACAATCCCTCCCACATCAGATCCCCACCTTCCGTCCCACCTCATCACAATCCCTCCCACATCAGATCCTGAAACAAGGCTACGGCGCTGCTGCCGCGCACGGCGCGGCTGGCCTGGCCGGCCATGGCGACTAGGAAGAGGGCGGCGCCGTAGCGAGAATAAAGAAAGAAACGTTGCAGCGGAAGGGAGAGAAGCTAGGCAAAGGGAGAGGCCTAACTTCAGATTCGTCGACGAGAGAGTTGAGAAGAGATTCAAGAAGTAGAATAGAAAGTAGATCCAGGGATGATACAACAAGATCCTGAGAAGGAATATTTATGCTAGGAAGATAGAACCGCGGCTCGTAAAGAAAGCCCGCGTCGCTACGCTTCTAGCATGGCATCTTGGCATAGCGCCTCGATGCCATGCCTTGCTGTACTATACTTCCTGACGGGGATACGGGAGTGTGCTCTAGGCTAGCAAGTGGTGTTGTTCGTAGCTACTAGGTATCAGCCCTTCGGAAATTCCCATGCATCCCGCATGGTGAGTTCCCGTCTTGTTACAGATCCCCACCTTCCGTCCCACCTCATCACATTCCCTCCCACCTTTCCTTTCCACCTCATCACATTCCCTCCCACCTTCCCTCCCACCTCATCGCATTCCCCACAACCTCATCACATTCCCTCCATATGCTCTTCCACCAAACTTTCAACTTCACTGCGCCCCCTCTCTTCTCCCCTCCCCCCTCCTCTCCCCTCCCCTACACGCATGTATCCTTTTCTCTCCGCTCCTCTCCTATCCTCATTCGAGCGTGGTTAATTTAAACACGATGCTTCCGCGGATCATCGCTTGAGCGTGGGGCGCGTGACGACGCCAAAAAGCGCAGTGATCTATTCAAGGGTTTACAGCACGCGCGCATTACGTCATGCTCATTCAATCGCAAGTTGCGAGCGGCACGCACCCTGTGACTTGGCAAAAGGGACGCATTCGACGCGTGAAACCGCGTGACACGTCAGCAGCAGCAGCACGCCGAGCAGAAGGGCTTCTGCGGGCTTCATCACGTCGCGATGGTCGCGGCAAAGCCAGGCAGGTTCTCTATTCATAACTTATGATTATCAGCTAACGCGTCTAAATTAATCGTATAATTCTACTTCGCTGTAAATACCCCTGAAGAAAGGTAAGGGGAAAATCGTGCTGGAGAACTGCCTGCTTACATGGAGGAAGGTCAGGAGTGGAAGGGGGGGTGCCAAAAAAAAAACGCATATGGCGAAGTTGGATTTTGCTGGTGTTTTGTCCCTGAAATGAGTGGTTCAATAGTAGCATGAAAAGCGGTCGCAACGCAATATGTGGGTAGGAGTTGAAGGGATGGCGTGGCATGGTCTCTTGAGCGTCCTGAAGGGGCATGCTACGCCATGCCATCATCTCAATGTGAGGACGTGGCCCAGACCGTTTCTGATCGGCGCTGATCTGATCAGGGCGATCTGATCGGGTTGCTTGTGATTGCATTTCTCGCGCCGCCCGATAGTACTGATATTCCTAGTAATTTTAAGGCGCCTGCCTCGCAAGTGTGCCAGCATTTTCTTATCATTTCGTCCCAGTTTTGGCGAGAACGAAGGCGTAGCGAATAAAATGTTCCCATGTATTATCGTAAACTACATTCTCAGTGATGCATGCGCGACATCTTCACGAGCTTAACGATAAAATGTTGCTTTTTTCGTAGGCGTCGCGAAGATCCCCAATCCCATGCAATCAAGTGATCGTGACCGATTGTGTGTGATTGTGATTGATTGGGGTGTTTGAGGCGGCTGATCGAGTTGGGGCGATCAATTGATCGCGATCAATTGATTGCCAAAAATTGGTTCGTGGAAGTTGTTGATCGCCTCTGATCGAGGCGATCAGAGGCGGTCTGGGCCACGTCCTGAGAGTTGGATCGGTTGGGTTGGGACAGCGCACAGCTGGCACCGATTCCGCGAGGAAGGCAGCACCGCTGAGGGAAATCCCGTGGGGGGCAGGGCTCAGGAAGCAGGAAATTTTACCATCGTTAGCCTTTGTTTCAGAATGGCTTTCGTATATCACCTTGCATAAGCAGGCATTGACGGTGATACAGCCCTACCATGGTTTGTACTGAATATATAAGGTCCCTGGTTTCTTGTTTCTGCGTAATAGCATAGCCTATTTCAAGACGCAATATGTATGGGGGGAGGCGAGGGGAGGGGGGGGGGGGGGGGGGGGGTGTTATTGGCTGGGCGACCTGCGGTGGCAGGGTGAAAGTTGTCCGAAACTCGTTTCTGGCAGGTTGGCCCAAAACACATGGAGAGCTTGGGAAAAGGCAGGCAGGCACCCCTACAAGATTCAGTTTCCTTTTCGCAGCCAATGAGAGTTGATGGCGGTTAAAGCAGGCGACCAATGGAGGGGAGGAATGAACTTTTGGGATTGGCTGAGCTGTTGGATGATGTGCTGTATCAGCAAACTGATGGACATTTCGGTTTCGGTATTTATGGGATGGCAATACACAAGATGCCCGTTTGACTAACCCAAGATTGCCTTGTAAAGAGGGCTCTTAATTGATTCTTGCATTTCGCTAAGTTTTCGTCAATTCGCACTTAGCAAAAAGGGCTTTCAAAAGATTTTGTAACTCTCTGTTGACCGTTTGACGTTGGTCTCTTCTGTCAAACTTCGGTTTTTGTGGTTCTTATTGCTCGAGGTGCTTGTAAATGGGGTGCAACTGGCTGGCACCCTAATACACGGGTGCAGAGTTTCCATCGCGGGCAGGGCAAATTCGCGCACAGGGGCTGGGCATCTTGTGTAGAATCCATGCCACGTCAAACTTCTGATTTTGTGCACACCTAATTTCGCCCAATAAATAACCGCGTTAAGACGCTAAGCGCTGTGATTCTAACGCTAAATAATCACAGCGCGTTAGAATCACAAAGTTTTCGCCCAATAAATAAACGCGTTAAGACGCTAAGCAGCGTATACACTTGAGGTCCCTTTCACGTCCTTTTTTGAAACACTACTTTCCTCGTGACTCACTCAGAGTCGCATTGATATACTTCCAGAATCCATCTTCGCTGTAGGCGGTTGTCTTGAGAATCTATCTAAACCATTTGTCAGTGACACTGCTTTTTGTTTTCCTCTCCCGACCTGATAGTTGTAGTGTTTTATTCTCCCATGAAGACATCATTTTTTTAGACACAAGTCGCTGATGCATTATAGTAGAGGACCCGCAGCTTGCCGCAACCGTGGGGGCGTAATGAAGCCCGCAGCAACCCTGCTGCTCGGCGCGCTGCTGCTGCTGCTGCTGACGTGTCACGCGGTCTCACACGTCGAATGCGTGCCTTTCGCCAAGTCGCAGGGTGCGTGCCGCCCTGAAATGCTGGTGATAAGCATGACTCAATCATGTTGATGGCCAGTCAATGACTCATTGTACATATGCGCGTGTCGAAAATCTGAGAAGTACTAGAAACTGCGCGTTTCCGCGGCGTCACGCCTCGCCTCCCAGCAAACACGGCTTGCTCCCTCTGCGCGATCAGCGCAGCATCATATTTGAGATAGCTGCAGTCGTGCATTCGATTCAGAAAGGGAAGGGGGGGGGAAGGGGAGGCGGGAGGGGAGGGGAGGGGAGGGGAGGGGAGGGGAGGGGAGGGGAGGGGAGGGGAGGGGAGGGGAGGGGAGGGGAGGGGATGGGAGGGAAGAGGAGGGAAGGCGCTTTCAGCTGGGAAGCTGGTAGCTTGTCCCTCTTTCCCTGTTCACTCGTCCCTGTGCCCTCCTCGTTCATCAGCGCCCTTCTCGCACACTGGCTGGCAGGAGGTTGGAAGAGCATGTGATGAGGTGGGAGGGAATGTGATGAGGTGGGAGGGAATGTTATCAAAGCGGTGGGAGGGCATGCGAAGGCGGTCGTTGGTAGACCCGCTGAGTCCCCTTGTTCCACTCCCTTTGGTAGACCCTCCTCTCTGCCACGCCCCGCCCTTCTCTCCTCTCTGCCACGCCCCGCCCTTCTCTCCTCTCTGCCACGCCCCTCCCTCCCCCCTCTGTACCGCACCCCGCCCTTCTCGTCTCTCTTCCGCGCCCCCCTTTCTCTCCTCTCTTCCACTCCGCCCTTCCCGCCGCCAGCGCAAGTCCTGCTGGACTGTCAGAAGGCGTGGAGCAAAACGTTTGACGGCTGGGTGGTTGGTGGGGACTGCGACAATGCGAGCAATGTCACATGCGATGCCCAGGGCATGATCACAGAGATGTGAGTAGACGTTTGTGAGTGAGATGATAAAAGCATTCGTTGTGAGTGAGATGATAAAAGCATTCGTTGTGTGAGATGATAAAAGCATTCGTTGTGAGTGAGATGATAAAAGCGCGTGTGTTAGCTCAGATGTACCTCAGATGATAAACCGCGGTTCCTATTGCTCGCCGCCCCCTTGACTCTCCCTCCTCCCTCACCTCCCTCGCTCTGAAAAACAGCAGCAACTCACTACTAGCTGCCTCCTTCCCTAGCTGCCCTGCCCCCTCTTCCCACTCTTCCGCAACCACCCCCCACCCACCCACCCCCCCCTCCTCTCTCCCCACTCCCCTCACTTTTCCGCTCCTCTCCCAGCCCGTACCTCTCTCAATGCCTTCCTCTGTCCGTCGACCGCTCCTCTTTCCCCGCTTTCCTCACCCCTCCTCTCTCCCTTCCCTCCTTCCCTTGTTACTCTCGTTCCCCACGTTGGTGTTGACACCCCTTCACCAGCCTGCAAAGGCGAATTCCGTGCAAATCAAAGAAAGTTATGATTACCGTTTTCTTGCCCTTTTTTTATCACTTCTGGTTTCCCCGAGTTCGAAGAACATGCATGCATGCAGGACACGCATGCCACTTTGACGCATGCAGCACACGCACGCCACAGTTACACACGCAACAAACGCACGCAACACGCATGCATGCATGCAACATGTTTTCCTCCATCGCTCTTGCATCTGGCATGTCCTCCATTCTAATGCCCATTTCAATGTGCGAACGTCAGAATCATTTCTGACATGAACCTAAACGGCTCAATCCCTGACTCCATCAGCAATCTTCAAAGCCTTGCCACCTTGTGAGTGCTGCGCTTCCCTGGGTGGACATGTGAGGCACTCACAAGTCACAACACAACTGGACGTGTGAGGCACTCACAAGTCACGACACAACTGGACGTGTGAGGCACTCGCAAGTCACAACACAACTGGACGTGTGAGGCACTCACAAGTCACAACACAACTGGACATGTGAGGCACTCACACCTTGTCTGTGCTCCTCCTTGGGTGTGTGTTTCTGAACTGCATCAAGCCAGACTTTGCCACCTTGTGAGTGGTTGGACGGTTTCGAGCATGCGAGCCCTGCTGTTTTGTCAGGGGTTTCGTTCTGATGTTTATAGGTGGTCAGTCCCTCCTTGCAACCCTCCTTCCTTTTTTTGAGTGCAGAGTACTATGGGGCACCAACCTGACTGGCAAAATACCAACAACTATTGGCAACCTTCCAAAGCTGACCGACTTGTGAGATTCTCCACCAGACAGACAGCCCTAAATGATGCGTACCTCGTTCTTCTCTTTAACGGACACTTCAAATGTAGAATGGTTTTCCTGAGGGCGTGAGAAAGTTGCCTTCACACTTTTGTTTCCTTTGCACCAGGACTGGACCTGGCATCCACCCTTAGTTGGTGCAAGCTCGTCCCTTTTCACTAACAAGCAGAGCTGAGCAGAGCTGAGCCGAGGAGTTGCAGTTTGAGTCTGGAATAACTTTTCACAATGTATGAATGCGTGCCCCCTCAAGTGTTTACTTGCTCTGGATGCATGCTCTCCTTGTTCATTTGCCCATCAGGGAACTTTGCTACAACAGCTTAAGTGGCAGCATCCCTGCATCCATCGGCAATCTTAAGAACCTCGAATACTTGTTAGTGCCGTTCCTCCTCGGTAATTGATTGATATGTTAGCACCATTTCTCGTTTGCTTGACATGTGGGTATAGTTATGTCGGCCCTGCATGCTTCTTCAAGTCGTGGTTCACGCATAATGAACTAGTCATTCGGCCCAACTTGCATCGAGCCTTCTTTCTCTTTGAAGCTCAATCGAACTGAGCTCTTAGCCCAATCTACACTGAAAGATGTGTTGTTCTAAGCTCAAATCGGGCCCTTAGAGGGCGTTTTGAAGCTGGGAAACCGTGCAAAGATTTGACACACGCGGTCATGTTTTCCCTTTGTCGAAATTTAGGCCGGTTATATTGCAAGTTTTTTGGTTTTTGAAGGAATATGGATATACTCATAAACCTCCAATTTCCCATCGTCTCTCTTTTTGCACCTTATTTCTGAGATGCATATGGCTGCTTGATAACAAGCTTAAGGGCTCCATACCAGCAATGTTCGCCAGTCTTTTATCTTTGACCAGCTTGTGAGTTATTCAATCATATAAGCTACTTCTGTTCTTACATAACAAAGTTTCTCAAACTAACGTGTTAGCTTCTCAGTCCATTTTATATTATCTCCCTCAACCTCAACTGCCTTATAAAAAAAGAAAATAAATGTGTTCCTTTTACTTTTGTTTGTCATGCAATCTGATGTATGACGTGATGTGATGGGATGGGTTGATTTGGGATGGAGCGAAAACAAGACCATGCATCCCTCCCTGCTGTGCACATCCAATACAAGTTGCGTGCGGTGTCTGGTCTCTCAGTTCGATGAGATGAGATGAGGAGGAGATGAGGTGTGATGGGATGAGTTGTGATGGGATGAGGTGTGATGGGACCAGGTGTGATGTGTTGAAATGTAATGTGGTGAAATGTGATCCGATGGGGTGCGATGTGATGTGATGATATGTGATATGGTGTGATGAGATGTGATATGGTGAGATGACATGTGATGAGATGAGATGTGATGAGATGTGATATGGTGAGATGACATGTGATGAGATGAGATGTGATGAGATGCTTTGTGAGCGTGATGTGATGTGACGAGGTGTGATATGACAGTCCCTTTATTTCACCCTACTCTTTTCAACACCATCAGCAGTGCAAGCCCTTGTCTTCCCTCCGCAATGGAAAAAAAAAAAAAAAAAAAAAAAAAATCTGGCTGGTTGACCTTAGTATTCCACCATAATCATGTTTGCTTCTCCCTACCTGCCATGGCATGCACTACCAGGATCGCAGTCTGGTTGCAATTCCCCCGCGAATGAAGAGGCAGTGAAGCTCATGACAATCAGAGCGACCATGGCCGACCATGGGCGACCATGAGCTAGCATGTGCAGGCAGCCTTGGAACACATCACAGAGGCACTGTTCTGCTCTTTTTCTCACTTAATGCATACCATGCCTTATGCATAAATTTCACATCCCCTCCATCGCACTCGTCTCTTGAACTATGTCTCTTGCCACCAGGAACCTTGGCTACAACGACTTGACGGGCACCATTCCTGGCTTTCTTGGCAACCTCCCAGCGCTTGCTCATCTGTGAGTGCGGCTGCTAACATGTGAGTGCTGCTGTTTGTGCTGACATGTGAGACACATCATGACTGCACCACATGCCATGTAAGCCACATCATGACTCCACGACATGCCATGTGGGACTCATCACGACTGCACAACATGCCATGTGAGACACATCATGACTGCACAACATGCCATGTGGGACACATCACAAGTGCACCACATGCCATGTGCGTTACGTCACGAATACAACACATCCCATGTGAGCCGCACATCATACATCCACACGCACACCACGTGCTTATTCATTCTCGGCACCCTTGTAGCTCGGCATCAGCTATAGCACCACTGGTGGAGGCCATCTGCGCGGCACGTGCCCCTCATGCCATCATGCCTCTTCGCCCCTCATGCCATCATGCCTCTTCGCCCCTCATGCCATCATGCCTCTTCGCCCCTCATGCCATCATGCCTCTTCGCCCCTCATGCCTTCATGCCTCTTCGCCCCTCGTGCCATCATGCCTCTTCGCCCCTCATGTCATCATGCCTCTTCGCCCCTCGTGCCATCATGCCTCTTCGCCCCTCATGCCATCATGCCTCTTCGCCCCTCATGCCATCATGCCTCTTCGCCCCTCATGCCATCATGCCTCTTCGCCCCTCATGCCATCATGCCTCACCACCATCAAGCCGCCGTCGTCCACAATAAGCGCCATCATGCCTCTTCGCCACATTCACTGTGGAGCATCCCATCCCATACCCTACTTTGTTGTCTACTCCACTCGTTGCTCTCCTCTCTTATGGAGCGCAGATATCTGCATGCAAACAGCCTCACTGGCTCGATACCGGCCACACTTGGCAACCTTTCGAACCCGGGAGATCTGTAAGCCGCTTGGCTTGGAGTGAACTGCTTGACTTGGAGTGAACTGCTTGACTTGGAGTGAATTGCTTGACTTGGAGTGAATTGCTTGACTTGGAGTGAACTGCTTGACTTGGAGTGAATTGCTTGACTTGGAGTGAACTGCTTGACTTGGAGTGAATTGCTTGACTTGGAGTGAACTGCTTGACTTGGAGTGAATTGCTTGACTTGGAGTGAACTGCTTGACTTGGAGTGAATCGCTTGACTTGGAGTGAACTGCTTGACTTGGAGTGAGTTGCTTGACTTGGGTTGGAGTGAACGTGTGTGGGGTGGCATGTTGTGGGCATGGATCAGACAGACAGATCATCCGAGGGCACCTTATATTCCGAATGAGTGGAATTGATGTGCTGCGTATACAGATGATTTTTCAATGCCAATCTAGCCAATGGTGAGTGTGAGTGAATGAATGTTCGTCAGCATTTTTACGTGACTCACACCCCACATACAATATGCTATGGAGTATGGCGTGCTCGCCGTTTGTGTGCTCGCCGTTTGTGTGCTCGCCATTTGTGTGCCTTCCATGTCTTTCTCTGCAGACTTTTGCGCTTCAACAAGTTGAAAGGAACGATTCCTGAGTCGCTTTTCAATCTCACGAGTCTTAACACGTTGTGAGTGCTGTGCTGTGCAGTCCTTCGCTTCCCAGCCAAATGAGCCTCAAACAACACCTGCCCTGCACGTGCATTTCAACATTATTTTAGGCGCCTCAGAAGGCATTTTGGCATTTTTAGGCACTATAAGAGGCATTTCACCAGGGGTGAGCATGTATATGGAATGTGCACTGCACTGCACTGCACTGCACTGTGCCGCACTGCACTGCACTGCACTGCACTGCACTGTGCTGCTCTTCTTTGCCACAAGCATGTCGATTGCATTTCAAAGGCGTGGACCCTTTTCCTCCTTACACGTATGCTTGCTGCCTAAGTATGATAAAATCTTGCCTTTTACTCTCCCTTAATTGCAACCTTTCTTATTCATAAACTGCAGAAGTGTTGACGGAAACTATCTAACTGGTTCAATCTCATCAAATCTGGGCAACCTTGAAGCGCTGATTTCCCTGTGAGCTTTTCTCACCGCATGCAGCAATCTTGATAACGCATGCAGCAATCTTGATAACGCATGCAGCAATCTTGATAACGCATGCAGCAATCTTGTTTTAAACAATCTAACTGGCTCAACTTCTAAAGGGGAACACGAACAGACTCCAAAAGTACTTTTGAAGCAAATTCGCCAGAATTTGATCTCCTACAGGAGCTAACTTGCCTGGATCCTTGGGAGAAATGATCACATAGTTGACAGCAACCAGCGAGGATGACAACAGGATAAATCTCCCTGTATAGAAATTCAGGGCCAGAGACAGAGTGAGAGGCTGAGTCAGAGGCAGAGTCACAGGAAGGTTTGTTAAGCCTATAGGTTGTGAGCAACTCCTATTGTTTCAGCAACCATGTGCAACCTTTATTGTTCCTTGTGGTCAGCAACCATATTTGTCTCACCACCGGCACACCTTTCATCGTTCTCCCATCATCATCTCTCCTCCCTCCAATGTCAGGAACCTTTGCTTCAGCGGCTTGAAAGGGCCCAGTCCTTCATCCCTGCATCCGTAATAAAGAAAGAATGCTCTCCCATCACCATCTCTGCCTCCAATGTCATTGTCAGGAACCTTGGCTACAACAGTTTCACAGGGCCCATTCCTGACTCTATTGGCAAGCTCGCAAATCTGAACGTTTTGTGAGTGTTTAGTGTGTACCTCCTTGCTTTGATATGTGAGGCAGGACAGGACCAATCAATGGTCGCTATTCAGGAATGGGTGGTTTGCGGATGAATCCTAGCTTTTTAACCTTAAATACTAATCTCTGAGCTAATATAATATAACCAGCAAACGTCTCTTACAAATTTGAACAATGCCTGCTAATCGCTCAGCTCGGGCGTCGCGTCACTTTTAAGCAAACAAAGCATTATGCCGTAAATAGACTGCCAGAAGTAATATTTCTCACCTTTAGAGGTCTTCTTGAGCCGTCTCAAAGATGAGTCTTCCTGAGACATCTCAAACCAATGCTACAGGCCTGTAATTTTGGCTGTTATTCACCTTCTGACACCCCCATTGTACACATTACAGAGCTCTATTGGGAAATAAACTGACAGGCTCAATACCGGTAACAATAGGCAACCTTATCCATCTGACTGGCTTGTAAGTCCTTTGACTAGACAACTATGGGGCTTTTTTCTTTGTGGTCCTGTTAATGGTATTTGTAATCAAGCAAATTGCTTCTTCTTACTGTTCACTACATTTAACTCGTAGGGATTGATATCTCCTTTCATCAGCATTGCGTGTATTGCTTGCAACACATTCATTGTCTGCCTTGTTTCTAGTAGTTAAGGGTTACAATGGTTATGAAACTAATGGTTTTGCGGCCGTTCCTGCTTCAGGTACCTTTCGCTCAACAGCCTGATTGGCAGCATCCCAGAGTCCACTGGCAACCTCCTGCAGCTCACAACCTTGTAAGCAAGTAAAGATGCGCTCAACACAAGGCACAAGGCATGAGCCTAACAACCTGACTGGCAGCATCCCAGAGCCCATTGGCAACCTCCTGCAGCTCACATCCTTTGGAAGCACAGCCATTGTGCCTTGTGCAGTTCGCCTATGAGTGCCCTCTGAACAGCACGACCTGCGTGAGCAGTGAGTGAGGCTATGATTTGCGGCACGAGTCTGTTGCTTGGACCCGGTCTGATCCAAACAAGACATGCCTATTCGCAACATTGTTTTAGCTCTATGTATCAATAACAAAACAGCGATTTGGTTCTGCATATGTGCAGCAATGCACCCCGTGCAATGCCCAACACCTCCCTCCAGCCAAACTTTTCAAACTCATTCTGACTCACCTCAAACTAGAGCTCTCTTACATGGCTCTGCGTATGCACAGCAACTCTTTGGCTCTTGTATGCGGGGGAACAAGGGCTTCGTTCTTGTATCACCAACAACGTATTGGCTCTACTACGTATGCCAAAAAACACTGCTTAGGCTCTGCGTGTATGCAACAATTCTCCCTGTGCAGGGAAGTCTCACGGACCGAACTGACTGGATACCTCCCCCCGACCCTGGGAAAACTCTCCAAGCTCATTCAACTGTAAAATATGATTTGTGAGGTACCTCATAACCTCATAAACGAGTCATGGGTCACCTAAGAACTTCGTTCCGACACTGGTCAAACTCTCACTAGCCATGGCTGCCAGCGTTGTCTTAACACTGCAAACCAAGTTGGTGAAGCTCATCTGCTGGCGTGGCGCCTTTGAGGAGGGATTATTGCTGCTGTTTTTTGCACATGGAATAAAGCTGCTGTTCGTTGCACATGGAATATAGCTGCTGTTCGTTGCACATGGAATATAGCTGCTGTTCGTTGCACATGGAATATAGCTGCTGTTCCTTGTAACAACCCAACCCCAACTATCATGCTAGCGTTTCAATAAAATCCGCTTTCATAGGTCCAACCCTTCCTTCCTCACTCCTTCCTTCCTCACTCCTTTCTTCCACGTATGCAGGTCTCTGGATGAAACGGCAGTCACGTGCCCACCTGACAGCACCCCATGTGTGGTTCAGCAGTCTGCTCAAAGCGCGTTTTGCAGTGAATGTCCCTCCTTCTGCACTACTTGCGTCACGTCAGCACCACGTGAGTAAAAAAAATACAGTTGGGTGGCTGGCCTGACACGGCTGGTCTACACCAATCACATCAGCTCATCTGTGAGTGAGTCGTTACTTGTGCCACAAAAATTTACAACACATAGCACACCTTTGGCATACTTCTCACTCAATTCAAGTGCAACATCACTGTTTAGGTGTATATGAATCAATATCTATACATTCGCAGATATATGTACATGTAGATGAAATGTATGTATTCACATCTTTGAACATAGAAACACAATGCTTTCCATCTTCATCTTCCTTTTTATCTTCCCACTCCTCCCCTTTCCCCACTACAGCCCCCCCCTCCCCACCTCCAGCGTCCCTCTCCCCACCTCCACCTCCCCCCACACCGCCCCCATCCTCCTCCTCTTCAAGCCCCCCCTTCTCACCCGAAGCATATCCCTCGCAGTCAGGAGGCGGTCTCTCAGTGGGAGCCATTGCCGGCATTGCTGCGGCTGCTGTGATGCTGCTGATCATTGGCGTGCTGCTGGGGTGGCGAGTCTACAGGAGATTAACACCACGTGCTGTAGGTATACCAGTATGCATGGAGCAGGAATAGTACAAATGGAAGAAGTGAAGTGTACACCCGCCAAGACGATAAGCCTGCAAGTCAAGAGAATCATCTCCCCTTCATGGCCACGTGCGAAAATCCAGCACTCCACCAACTCATTTGAAAGTTTTGAGGCATCTCAAACCTCATGGGATAGAGCATCGAGCAAGACAGTTAGTTTCAAAAGATTCTTGTTCTTCCTCCATCCATCAACCTCCCTTTCAAACCCATCCCTACTCTTCCGAGATCTTTGGGTGAGGAAACGTCGAACAAAGCAGCATTAGCTACGTACCTCAAGATTTTAAGATTTTTTAGGTACCTTACGTACGTACGTTCATGTTGGGTGCAAAATACTATTTTTGCACTGCAACCAGCCGCCCTCACCCCTTACATCCCTCTCCCCTTCCACCAATCACCCCTTACACCCCTCCCCATTTCCACCCCTCAACCCTCGTCTTAAACTCGTACAGGCCGAGCTCGCAGCATACAGGGCACTCACTGCAGAGAATACTCCCTGGAAGAAGTCCTCAAAGCTACCAACAACTGGTCATCTGACAACCGGCTTGCCGCGGGTACCTTTGGTGACGTGTACAAGGGCGTGTGTCCTCACGATGGCACCACCCTGTGGGCCGTCAAGCGAGCCAGACTGATTGACATGCATTTCCGACGAGAGGTGAGACGACAGCACGAAATGGCCATGAGGGACGGTAATGGACATGAGTGGTTTCCTATTCGACTCGTTCTGACGAGGCTTGAGGGATTCTTGGTCGAGTCGAGTAAAGCTCGACCGAGTTCTTTTACCAACTCCCAAGTCGTTTATGAAGATGAACAACAAATCATCGTGCCTCAAGTTTTGTTGACTCAAACCATAAAACTTGACTCAGGTCACACTACCTGTCCCTCGAACCTGGCTTGTGGTGAATGAATGGATGGCGCAATCAATATCTCATTGACTGAACACATCAACAAAAGTGTCGTCACTGCAAGCGTCGGCCCTGAGCCTCCATTAGTCAGTACATTCCACCATGGCATGCCTCTCTCATTCTAGTATCATGTGATAACAATTCCTTTGTGAATTGTTTCTCTCTTAACCCTTCCCAACATTCCATTCTCCTCTTGTAGGTCCAAGAAATGGCCGACAAGAACCATCCAAACATCGTGCGGCTGCTTGGTTTCGTTGTTGGAGGGAACATGAGGACACGACCAGAGCAAATCTTGATCTACGAGTTTGTTTCCAACGGTGACCTTGATCAGTTTGTCAAGAAAAGTACGTACCAAATATTCATTTGCACGCAACCTTTACTTTTCTTATAAACTCTCTGTTTAGAAAAATACTTTATTTCAGACGTTGACCTAGATTTTTCTGCTCCACATTGATGTGATGAGTGACGAGTGATTGTTTGTGTGACGACCAATTGAGTCTCGTAAACTTCTGGGGCTGAAAACAGACAAAATGTACAAAAAAAAAAAAAATCTAAGAATCAACTATAATGTCTAGCTTTTTTTTGGACTCTCATATCATTTCCTCTCTCGTTCCGTGCATGTGTGCAGAGGCATCCTTCTTACTCACCTTTCAGCAGCGGCTGGACATCCTCATTGGTGCGGCACGTGGCTTTGAGTACCTCCACAGCTTTGGCCTTGTGCACCGCGACATCAAACCCGCCAACATCCTCCTTGGGGCAAACATGCAGGCAAGCAAGCGAGTGCTTTGCATGCATTATAATTACGCACCCTATACAAAATCGAATGTCCGATCTCAAAGCCATAGAGAAACCTATGGTATGCCATATGCTGCCATGTTGGCTGTTGTTCCAGCTTGACCCATATGTGTAACATGAGGTAAGGCCTCACTTTCAGGTTTGGCAACGTTGGCTTGCCTTGCCCACAGCTTTTAGGTGCTGCAGCTAGCCTCAAGAGCCCAGCCATACATTTCAGACTTCGTGTTCTCACTAAGAGATAAGGATGAGGACATTGGTCTAGCCCAGGGCGACCCGGCCAAAGTACGGGCTGGATCGGTTCGACCCGACCTCTGGTCACATCCCATTGTTTGCGACCCAGCGCCAAGGAGCTTCTCGCTAGTGGGCTGTACCATGTGTACATGGCTATGTGCATACGACTGTCACTCAATCTGCGTCGCCGATAGGTCACTGCGCTTCTACCCTGGTTGAATGACGCTCACTAGCCACTAACAGGCAAGCAGGTATGGCAAGATTGTACCGAACCATCTCCCGTAAGCCCTCAAGGTTCCGTCTCACCCACCTCCTTGTACAGTCACACCTACCCACCTCCTGATATAGTTACACTCATCCACCCCTGCATCACAATCATCCACCTGCCCATAAATTCACATGCATTCATTCATTATAGGCACACTCACATATACCCTAAGCTTTTTTAATGCGCACATGGGATTCCAGCCTCAGATCCCTGGCCCTGATACCACTTGTTAGATAACCACAGCCAGTGCCACTGTGCTTATAATGTTTCTTTGGTGAAGCATCGCTTACAGCTCTCCATGCATCTTTGTCATTGTCCCTTCCCCACAGATCACACCAACTAACATGACCTCAGTGCTCCGTTTTAAAAATTGCAGACATAGTGATTCTAATTTACCCGCAATACTGATCAACTCAGTGCGATAACGTTCCCGTGTCCATTTCTTTCAACCGCGCTTGTTTTCCATGTTCCGATTTTTACACCATCCGACAGGCCAAGATTGCTGACTTTGGGCTGTTAAGGGTGGGGGAGGGCACCACTGTGGGCATGACCCGGGTGATGGGAACACCGGGCTATGTGGATCCCGTCTACTCACGCACGTCCAAGGCCACCATTGCCACCGATGTGTACAGGTGAAAGGCCACCACTGCCACCGATGTCTGTTTATAGGCCCCTCACAACAACCACTGGCAGCACATGACACCGATGGCTACAGGTGGCCGAGTGATTATCGGTCTTGTAGTTTCAATTGTTGTCTGGTAGTTTCAATTGTTGGGTTGTCTTTCTGCATGCTGGTGTGGCAGTGTTAAATCTAGGCTGCAAAAGGCAGTGTTAAATCGGGGATGAGTGAATGTTGAGCTAGGTGAAATCTTGTACTTCCATCTCAAGCTGCATAAGTAAGATTCAGAATGTATTCATCTCCCTCTGTGTGTGCAGTTTCGGTGTGCTCATGCTTGTTGTGTTCACTGGCCGCAGCCCTCACTCTGATGATGGTGAAATGAGCTGCCACATTCTGCAATGGGTAAGTGCTGCTGCGTGTAGCTTTTTTGTGAGATGCCACTGTAAAACATGCTATTGGTTCAAGTACCACATTCTCCTACACGTAAATGCTGCTTTTGTGCTGCTTCTATGTGAGTGAACAATTGCCTGCATCCTGCTTGTTTGGTATCAGAGCAGTGCATCTCCTCCAACTAACCTGGCACACTCAATGACCTGAGCATGTGACATTGAACACCCCTTAGGGCGCCCCCCTAATGATGCTGTGCAGTGTCACTCTCTGTCCATGTCCCCATCCCCACGCACCTTGTTCACCCCATCCCCACCCACCTTGTTCACCCCTTCCCCACCCACTTTGTTCAATGCCCAGGTGGAGGAGTGCATTTCCTCCATAACAACGGGCCCCTTGAAGGACCCGAGTATGGACGCCCCAGACGATGCTGTGCTGCGCCTGGCCCAGCTGGCCCTCTCCTGCACCGTCGAGTGCACTGCAAGCCGGCCCAGCATGTCAGACATTGCCAACGAGCTGCAGGGTATCAGGCATGAGGTGGTGGGGAAGGAGGTGCTGAGTGCAGCGGTGAAGGTGGATGAGGAAGCAGAAGAGATGGGAATTGGGATGTCGTTTCGGGGTAACTTGAATACCGACCTGGAAGCGATTGAGAGGATGGATGAAGAAGAGTCCAATGGGGAGCAATCAGCCAAGTCTATTCAGTGAGGTCTGGTCTTGGCAGTATAGCTTCAAGCTGGTAAGAGCGTAATGGGTGGCAGTCAGGTTGAATAGAGCTCGTGGGATCTGGTAGCTGCAGCTGAAGCAGCAGGCAATATCTAGTTGGTTGCACTGCACATGATGATGACTTTGATGTGAGTTACCACTGTGCGTAAGAAAACCTTATTCAGTGTTGTACCGTCAGCCCCCGGATAGAAGCGCCCCTGGGGGTATAAAAAAACACTGTTTTTTAGGGGGTGCGCTTATATTTGAGGATTTTTACGTATAAGCGCCGGGGCTTATATAATGACATATATGAAATCTAGTTTTTTTTACACTCAAGTGTTCATCTCGTCCTTGCGGTTTGAATAGAATCGATATTGTAGAGGGTATTGAATGTGAATTTCGCGTGAATTGGCAGTGGCTGATTCCCTGCCAACACACACAGTCAGAATGAGTCAGATTGACCCCATGACAGCTCATTTTGACTGGACGCGAAGGCATTGAGTCGCGCGAGGGGCAAGGGTTTCGAAATTCTGAATGTGGGGATGCAATATTGTGTTTCGTTTCAGCGTTTTCAGTCAAAATATAAAAAATATTACAGAAGGTGGCGCTTATAATCCGTAAGCCTTCAGGGGTGCGCTTATAATCGAGGACCGGATATAAGCGCCCTCATCCTTTTATAAGCACCGGCGCTTATCCGAGGCCTGCGCTTCTATCCGGGGGCTTACGGTATTTCTGAGCCATTGCATAAATAATAATCTGGAAATCTACGATTTGCACAATCTCAGCTCGCCCACATATGGGGAGGGCTTACTATCAGAGGTAGTAAGGAATCACGTTTCATTACAGTATGATAATTTTTAACCACACAAAGTGTTTTTCAAAATTACGTATTTCGAAAGCGCAGCTGCCTGTAACGCAGATTTGGCATCGTCGAAGCGCGCTAAATGCCCTTCTCCAACTACAAAACGTGGGTTGGAGCTCATTTCCCTCCACCCACGTCTCTCATTTTCCAACGGCTCATGCAACTCTCAGTTCCTCGAGCTCATTTCTAGTTTTCCGTTCAAGCTGGCTAGAACTCGCTCTCTACCGAGAGGCGTTTCACCTTTTAGCTGACATTCTCAAGCACAACCGCTCGACTATGGCTGCTACGCCGACACTTAGCCGCGCGAACAACACCGTCGTCAACGACTCGAATATTTCCGACACCGATCGTAACGCCCGGGAAATGTCGGGCGAGCGCCGCAACAAGCGCCGGGCAGACGGCGAAACGTCCGCCCCAACAGCTGTCGACGTGCTGCTGGGCGGGCTCGAGGTCAAAAAAAACGCCGAGCGGCACCAGCAGCACCCTTCGGCGCCTGTGGCGCCTGTGGCGCCTGTTGCGCCAGTGGTACCCGTGGCACCAGTGGCGAACGTGGCGCCACACGCGACTGACGCGGAGCACGCGCCTGAGGCACACGCGCCCCACAGGCAGTCGCGTCAGCGCCAGAGGCGCCGTACGGCCGCCTCGTCTGACGCGACCGTTGACCCGGACTTGACCCAGGCGTTGACCCCGGACCAAGTCAAGGCGCTCCTGTCCCTGTTACAGCATCGACCCGCCAGCGCAATTGAAGCCGAAACTACACAACCGGCGGCATCAATTTCGGCTAAAAACGAAAATTCGAAAAAGGAGAAGGGAGCGAAAGGAGCATCAACACGCCGCCACAACAAGGAGGTAGCTACCAGCGTTCCCGAAGCCGCAGCCGACGACCACGACTCCGACGACTCTGACGACGACGCTGGTGAGGCTCCGATCAACGCAGCAAATGTCACATCCATGGAAAATCTCCCCCCCCTTCCTTCCACCACCCCCACCTTTTCGGCGACAAACTTCATGAAGGCGTTCGTGCGCGCGAAGGCGGAGCCCCTGGAGGACGTGAGGGCCTACCTGAAACACGCGGAGTACAAGCTGCAGCACGACGACACGGCGGGCGGACTCGAAATGGTCATGAACGCCCTCGACTACATTTCGGAGCGTTTTGTGATGTTTCAAGTCAAGGACCACACCGACGACCGCGTGGCAAAGCGATTCAAGCTCTACCAACAGAAGAGTCTCCTGACTTCCCGCCCGTTCAAGCAGGCGGTAGCTGATGTGGCGGCTATGGATCGCGCGGAGGGCGCGTACGCTCGTTCCCACCGCGTTGGAGGGCATGGGCCGACGGCATACACCCCAAAGCGTGGACCGCCGCCCACGGGTGGCTTCCATGGCTTCCGTGGGGCGTGCTTCCATTGTGGCCAGCCGGGTCACGTGGCAAGCGGCTGCCCGAGGAACGGGAACGGTGGCCAAGGTCCCGCACCCGTGGTGTAGGGGCGGGCCTTGAGCGGTTGCGCCTTGTGCGCGTGGCACGGTGCACGTCACGTGCAAAATCCGTGGGCAACCCAAAGGGGTTAGCGATGGCGGTTGGCCAGCCCTAGTTAGGGGTGATTGATAGGCTAGAGGCCTAGGATGCGGGGGAGGGAATTACAAACCTCTTGGCCCTTAGTATTAGCCCATGCGGTAGGGGCAAAGGCATGCTAGGAGCATGGCAATGTATGGCCCGTTTCATATAAGGGCGGACTTATAAAAGGAGCGATTTCTGATTTTGGCTCATGATGAAAAAAAAAAAAAAGGGAGAGAGAGTGAGAACGAGAAGAAGACGAAGGAGAAGAAGAAGAGAGAAGGAGAGAAAGGGAGATAAAGGCAAAAAAAAAAAAAAAAAAAAAAAAGGGGGCGAAGATATGTACCGTACGACCCCAATCAATGGCCCTTGCACTCATCGGACGGGCAGCCGTTGCCTTGGGTGAGCAAGAGTGAGAACAAAAGAGAGGGTGTGTGTGTGTATGCGAGAATGAAGAGAGGCAGAGAGAGAGAGAGAGGGAGAGAGAGAGGACACGAGAGAGTTCCTTCCCTCTCCTCCTGTTGTGGCCACGTGACCACGCGGAAAGACTCACACCCGCACCTTGGTTGGTGGATTGAAAAAAAAAAAAAAAAAAAACCCGTACAATGCGGATGCTAGGGGTGACAAATGGTATTCGAATGGGTCAACAAGCACGCATTCATCACATGCACCGCCATTTCACGCACGAAGGCTGGAAATCATATCCATAGGAACCTCATTTCGCATTCCCGCTCCATTGTCATTCCGCAAACATGCAGCGGCAATACGCCATGAGGTGTTCGACGACGACGATCCGTACGAATTCGCCGTCACAGACAAGACCGTCACGCAAATGCGCGGGCGGCTTCGCGCAACCCTCGCATGGTGGGGCTCGTGGTGCCCAAGTAGCCTCATCCTCTCGGTCATCGCCAACGGCTACTGGCTACCATGGAGACACAACCCCCCACAACCGTTTCACGAGCGCAACCATCTCGGCGCGCACACACACGCGGCATTCACACGCACTGCCATTCGCGAACTGACAGATACCGGAGCGGCGGTAGCTACCCCAGCAGCGGAACTAACATGCATCAGCCCACTCAACGTGGTTGAGCAACGTGACAAATGCAGGCTTATTCTCGACCTCCGGAAAGTGAACGCGCAACTAATCATCCCCAAATTCAAATATGAAGGGCTAAGCCGCGTTGCCGACCCGGCACGCACAGGCGACTGGATGTTCTCCATCGACCTCAAATCCGGATACCATCACATCGACATACACCACTCATGCTGGACATTCCTCGGCTTCGAATTTGAGGGGAGCACGTACTCTTTCCGCTCATTGCCCTTCGGCCTCGCGACAGCACCATTTGTCTTCACACAACTCATCAAACAACTAGCCAGGCGCTGGCGCGAACAAGGCATCCGAGTTGTACCCTATGTGGACGACATCCTGTTTTTATGCAAGTCCAAGGCACATGCACAAGCAACGTGCCAGATGATAATCTCGGACCTCAAGATGGCGGGCCTGGTAATCAACGCGAAAAAGTCGCAGCTGTCACCGTCACAACACCTGCGATTCTTGGGCGTCGAGCTGGATACCAACTCCGAACAATTCTCCATTGGCACCGATCGACGAGCATCACTTCATGCACACATTCTCAATCTCCTGGGCGCAAGCAAAGCACGTCGACAGGTCCCAGTCCGCCACCTGGCTAGAATCACTGGCACGCTCGCGTCAATGGCTGTCGCGCTAGGTGCCACGGCGCGCGCATTCAGCCACGCTATGTTACAAGCGATCAACGACGCGCCATCCTGGGGAAGCAGTGTGAGCATTTCCCCGTCTGTGGCCGAGGAGCTGCAATTCTGGCTTGAGGAGTTCGACAGATTCAACGGCGCACCATTCCACGTCCGGAACAGTTACGACGCCGTAATCCACGTGGACGCCAGTTCCCACAGTTGGGGTGCCACTCTGCTCACCTTCCCTGGCGAACTCGAAGAAGCCAGTGCAGCCATGCCAGAACCATTGCACGCAACGTCCAGCACCCGACGGGAAATCGAAGGTGTCCTATGGGCCCTCCGAACGTACGCAAACAAGGTCCGACGGAAACACGTGCTCGTGAGGGTGGACAACCAAGGGGTCTTCTTCATCCTTCGCAAAGGCGGTTCCCGCACCCCCGACCTGACCAACGCTTGCAAGGACATCATTCGCACCTGCATGGAGCTCGGCACTCGACTAATTGTCGAATGGATCCCGCGTGAGCTTAACTCCCATGCCGACGAGTTGTCGAAACTGATCGACCATGACGATTACTCACTGAAGCAACCATGGTTCCGAATCCTTGATCGCCGCTGGGGACCCCACTCCATCGATCTCTTCGCGAACCATCGCAACTCGCATCTGCCACGATTCTGCTCAAAGATCCCTCACCCAGAGGCTACTGCGGTTGATGCATTCTCATGCTCATGGACAGCCGAGAATGGCTTCGCGTTCCCACCACCCCAGCTGATCCCAGCAGTCATCCACCACGCACAACGCACCCACGCATCACTCACCCTAATTGCCCCACACTGGACGGGGGCAAACTGGTGGCCACTCTTACAACCCTC